TTTCATGAAATATACAACTACGTTGTATAACTGCATGGGTTTTGCATATAGTGCCTTAAACGTCTCGAAATTTCCTTTTTCAGACGCCAACGAAACAAGGACAAATCCATATGAAAATTGAGACTGCAATATTCCTTTGCTTTGACAAAATAGGAGCACAAAATCGTATGTAGCAATATATTGTACCATTACATTCCATGGGAATAGTTTCAGGAGCAGGTAAAGAGAATGGAGCCAACAACTTGGGGACAAATCATGTTGTATTATTTAACCACGCTCTGTGTCTCTCTCTTCTTTATTTTGATTTTTGACTGATGACCCGCAATGGCAAGACTGAAGAAAACTACCTTGAATGGTTATTTAAATATCTGAAAGTTTACGATAAATAATAATTTTTTAATTAAAAGTTATAATATTTAATATAAAAATTTAGTCTATTTTATTGTATTCTTTAGACCCATATTAAAAAAAATAATATATTGTTTTTTTTTATATACCAACTAAAAAAATATACTCTAAAATTAAAAAGGATATTAAAAAAACACTCCCTTTAAATTAAAAAACAAATAAATAAACACTTTCGAACTGAAACATTCAATAATGGGGTAAGTAGTTTCAACTTTGAAGGCTAGGGTAAGTAATTTAAGCAGGCTAGGTGGCTGCTGCATACACATTGGGGCGTTGCCAAAATGGAAGGCCAAAGTGAAGTTATTTCTTCATTCACAGACACGCGTTCTGTGTCATTTGATTCATCATACGATCATGTGCTAATGGCGCAGACGGCTGCTATAGACGGGAGAATAATACATTACACACTGATAACATTCTTGTACTATTTTTCATTTTTAAATGCATTACATATAACTCTTTTCATAATTTTCTATTTTATGCCTTTCCATCACATTATCTGTCTAATAAAGTTGCACCTTCTATTGCCATACATTTTAGCAGACCGTTCACAAAAGTTGCACTCTAATTAAACATTCATTTATCTTCTGCTAGTTTAATCACAACCTTTCCGTAAGAATAAGTTTTTTATATTTTTAATTTTACTTTAGACTTAAACGATAACATCAACTTTTAAAATTAAGTTTGAGTAATTAATAATTACAAATTTTCAATTAAAAGTAAAATTATTATTATATTTTGAATATAATATTTTTTATGATAAAAAATATTTGTTTATTCTTAAACCTAACTCTAAAGACTAAAATTAACAAAAGCTCTTATACTTATTAAGACTCTGTTTTTTACCTTTATAATTTTGAATTCATTAAATTTACATTTAATTATATATTTAAACTCATTGAAATCAGTCTCAAACTCATACTTTTTTCCAGTTAAAGTTCAACCTTGTCTCCTAAACGTGTGTGCGACCATGTATACACACACTAAAAAAAATCCCTTCCAAACTTCTTTATTATTGTGCATGTTCCACATCATTTATTCACGTAATAATTTTAACAAGACAATGACAGAAACATTCTACTTAATTGTCGTTGCTACTATTTTTTCTTTGTAATCTTAATTTTACCTTTTTTACAACAAAAATATAGTGGGTATTTTAAATTTTTATATAATTTAATATTTATATATTTATTTTATATTATTGTTATTATTAATATTAAAATGTTCCCAGATTAAGAAAGGTTGGCAATACATTCTTAATTCTTAATTAAAATTTATTAAAAATTAAAAAATTATGTGAGTCTTATTTTTTTATTTTTAATTTAATAATTTTCTCTCATAATTTTAAAGTTTTTAATGAATTTTAGTTACTAATTAAAGATGTATTAAAAAGTGCATTCTTAACTCTGCTTATTTAATATTGATTAAGAATATTTCTTCTTAAGTTTTAATAGATATAATTATTAATGATTTTTTAAATTTTTTGATTAATTTTAACCTTTTCTTTTCACATTTATTTCTCTCTATATATATATGTTTGATATTATGTATTAAATTTGTAAAATAATATACTAATATTTTTATAAGTATTAAACGTTATCAATTTAACCATTAAATAAAAATAATATAGTTATTAAACGTATAATATATTGTTTTATATACATAAATTTTAATTCCATATTTACTAATGCTTGAATTATTGAAAATTTTGCATACATAATTAATAAAATAATATAATGATTAAATATATATAATTTAATAATTATAAAATAATATTTTTTATCGTATATTTAACATTTTATATTAATTTATTTTGTCCTCTTCTTGTACACGTGCATGCATAGACGACCGTAAGCAAAGTTACATTTTTAAGATAAGTATTCAACAAACTTAAGTTGAAACGTGTTTGTTAAACTACTCATTATAAAAAATAAGTGGAAATATTTTAGCTAGCTAAATATTTACGTGTGTTTTAGCAATTTAAATTAATTTATAGTTAGATAAAAGTTATGCTAACAAAGATTAATCGGTTGTTATACCGTTAGTATATGCGTTCTTTTTTTCAAGGAATCTTATGCACATGCAATAATGATTTTATAATAAAAATATTTGAATTACGTATATTTAATTTAAAAATACCTTTTAAGATTATATATATTTATCTTATATTTTTAAGTTGAGGATCGATTTTGTCTTTAACCTAATTGCATGCATCTTAAATTGATGTGTATGCGGCTGCTGGTATTGTATTGTTCAATGCACTATTGGTTTTCGGTGCGAGCTGCTTGTTTTGCGCAAGTGTTTTTCGATGGGCGTCCAAGATTCTTCTCCTGCAAATGGGAACAGCTAACCATTAACATAAATCTCACACAATGGAATATCAATAAATTTTTGTGTCAATAACATCTTTGTATCACTATAACTTAAGCACGTTTTATTCACCTTACTTTTATAATTACTTTTTTATTTTTATCTGAAAAATTATTGTTCTAAAACGAAATAAATGAAAATACACTTCCAGCATGCCTTTCATAACGCTGTATGGCGTATTGTATATCCCGTTATATACATACAGCTAAAGGAATATTTTAATAAAATTATAAAATAATTAAAATAAATATCCGAACTCAACCTTAATATTATGCTAAGTGAACATAATGCAGAAACTACGATTAACAGCGTTAAAATTATTTTGAATTCATATATATTTAAAAACAACTAAACGTACAAGAGACTTTTCACTGATCTCTGTACTCTTTAGATGCATGACTTTATTAGAAATGATTTTTAAAATAATTAATGTTAAAACAAATATTATTAAAAAATAATTTATAGTTACAAATGATATTTTAAGTTAGTTTTAAAGAATTGTAAAATGTAATATAATCATTGAATTTAATTTTGATTTTATGAGTATGAAATTTTTTATACTAATAATAAATCATGTTTATATATTTTTTTAAAAAAGAAAACCTTACACTTAGAATTTTTTAAAATTAAAAAAAATTAATTATTTTAATATTAATCTTCCTCGTCCTTGTTTATATTACAGAATCGAGTACGTTAAATAAGCAATTAATTCAAGTGATAATATATACATGTTTAATTTCCAACTACATTGATTTGAGGAGCAATAAGTAGTTAATTCTAATATGTTTTCAACCTGAATAGAATAATCTCCTATAAAAAAATCATAATTAAACAAAAATATAGCATGGTTTGAGTCTTCCCCTGTGGAGAGAGATTTTGTGCATTTTAGCGTATTTTTGGAACAATATATATATATAAATTTTTAGATTAATTTTTAGTCATTCAAATGATAGAAATATTTTATTTATCATGTAATTGTATATAATTTTATTTCCTAATTTATATAAAATTAAAAAATATTGGTAAAAATGATGATAATTATTATAGACTTTAATAAATTTAAATTTGTTTAATGAATTTTAAATTAAAGTATATAATAAAAATTATTAAATCATACAATTATTAATATAATTTAAAATATGTAATTTAACTCCCCTTTAAAATTAATATTAAAAAAATATTTAGTCAAACAATATTTTTACCATCCATAATTTGTAATCGATCTTAAAACTTTTCAATTTATATTATAAGGAATCATATATTTATAAATTAATTACTCTTAACTTTTACATCAAAATATTTTTTGTTTTAATTAAAGATTAAATATCAACCTATTTAGCGGATAACTTTGAGTTCAAATTTTATTATATGTGAGAAAATTTCACACCCTTTAAACTTGAAGTAGCCCGTGGTGGTTTTTGATCTTTAAATAAAAACTATGTTTTAATATTTTTCTTTTATTATTAAATTAATTTAATTAATTATTGAAATAAAATTATACTTATATATATATATATATACACACACACATTTGTCCTCATATTTTAACAATTTTCTTTAAACGAATTTTTTTCTTTAATTTATATTACTTATTTGATCCATTAAAATACTGACAAGTGAATATTAAAAAGAGTAAAAGTAATAATATTTAGAAAATAAAAATAAAAATCATATATTCAAAGGACTAAAATAAAAAATATAAGGGGATTAATTTATATATTTAAATTTAAATATTAGTTATATTAAAAAATATTGTAAGATGGATAAAATATTTATAAATTTTACTGATATTTAAAATATTGAATAGATCATCTGATTAAGCCAACATTTTTGCGTACAATAGTTGCATTTTTAACGCCGCGAGCAAAAGAAAGAGGCAGATAATTTTGTATCTGAAGCGAAAGAATATTAAATATTAACAATGGGGCACTCCACTGCGACGTGGCAGAAAGCCCAGTGAAAGAGTGGGCAAAGGGATGTTGGCCACGTGTAGAGATTTGATTTCATAGTCGGAAAAGAAAGAGAAAGAAGTTGGAGAGTATACAACAAGACTTACTCTGTTACTTCCTTCCTCATTCGCCAGTAACGGAGATGGACTGGGAAAGAGAGTGGCGGGGACCCCTAAGGATATCGCGGTTGTTGTGGGTCCCACCATTCTGTTTTTTGGAGCTTCCCCTTTCTTCCAACTATAAATCACTGCTTCGCCCTTCTTCTTCTCTCCCACACATACTCTCTCTTCTTCAACACTTGACACCTTCGCTTCTCTCCTCTCAAACATATTTAAGGTTTATTACCTTCAACTTCCTTCACATTCTCAGATCATATCTTTCTCAATGTGCCTATATACATCATAAATTATTTGCTTCGGTTTCTTGTGCAGTGAAGATGACGCAGCAGAATGTGCTCCTGTCCAAGACTAGTAAATCTGGGAATGGGATCGACAGGGCTATAACCCTTCCCCAAAAGCCACCCTCCGCACCAGGAGGCTACATTCCCATTCCAAGGAGAAGGGTTTTGAAGAACCTTGAAATCAATGGAGACGGAGGACAAAGAATCAGTGCATGGCTTGACTCCATGAGAGCCTCTTCTCCAACCCATGTCAAATCCACTCCTTCTTTCGCAGAAGAACACACCTCTTGGATTGTGAGAACCCACAACCACTCTTCTTAATCATTTTTTCAACACCTACTAGTCATTTCGACTCATCTTCCTCTGACGTGCATAATCACATGTTCTTTGTCAAACAGCTTCGCCACCCTTCCGCATTAGACATGTTTGAACAGATTACGGATGCATCCAAGGGAAAACAAATCGTCATGTTCCTCGACTACGATGGTACCTTGTCGCCTATTGTCGATGACCCCGACCGTGCTTTTATGTCGGATTCGGTTAGTATTTATACATGCTTACAATTATTAGATATATAATTTGTTTGCTAATAGTAACATATTCAATTGTCACATATCAGATGAGAAAAACTGTGAGGAAACTTGCGCGGTATTTTCCTACTGCTATTGTTACCGGCAGATGCAGAGACAAGGTCAACTTTCAATTTCAGTTCTGCCCCTTTCCCTTCTTATTTTGGGGACCAAAAAAAGGACTAATTTTGTGATGTTTTGCCAACAAAAGGTGTACAATTTTGTTCGCTTGGCTGAGCTGTATTATGCTGGAAGCCATGGCATGGATATTAAAGGACCAACAAGAGATTCCAAATACAATAAGGTGAGTGAACTAAACATGGTGCAGTATAATAGGGTCATAACTTTTACTAATTCTAAGAAAAATATTAATTTTACTTTGACTTTGATCTTCAGGACAACAAAAGAGAGGAGGTTCTTTTTCAACCTGCCAGTGAATTTCTTCCCATGATGGATGAGGTTAGTCAATTTTTTCCCTACATGCTTCTTAATCCTTCTTCTTCTTCTTTTTTTAATTATAGTAAATAAAAATATATTTTTTCTTCTACCCAATTGCAGGTGTACCATCTATTGGTTGAGAAAGTACAATCAATTCCTGGAGCCACGGTGGAGAACAACAAGTTCTGCGTCTCTGTTCATTTTCGCTGCGTTGATGAAAAGGTACATAAACATGAAAGCCATCTATGTAATTAATGCGAGAAAATTTTGATTTAGACTTGGCAAAGTTTAACATAAAGTCTCAACATATGCACGATATCCAGAAATGGAGTGAACTGGCACAGCAAGTGAGATCAGTGTTAAAAGAGTACCCGAAGCTTCGTCTTAGCCAAGGAAGGAAGGTGGGCCATGGTTTTGTTTTCACTTTTTCGTTATCTACTTTGTTTATCTGGTGGGGTATTTGATTTAATTTAAAGGTGGCTTTGAGAGGAGGATTAAGAATAATAAGAAATAAGAGATGTCTCACTTTCAATGTCATTTGTTTAATACAGGTACTAGAGATTCGTCCCTCTATTAAATGGGACAAAGGGAAGGCAGTGGAATTTTTGTTAGAGTCACTTGGTGAGTTTTAATCCAATTCATTTTTGTTGTTTATTTATTTGTCACAATATATTTTGTTAAGCATAAATCATAATAATTACTCAGTTATGAATAACCCACTGCTCACGATCAGTGGTTGGATAATTGTTCCAAGTATTTGACCATGACAAACAAATAAGAGGACGACACCCACATCATGTGGGATTATTATATTCATTGAAAGATTATTTTATATCCATATGCTTCTAAGTATATAGTAATTTTTTAATTTGTCCATCAATATCTAAATAACAAATCGTTTTCAACAGGATTTGCCAACTGTAACAATGTCTTTCCTGTTTACATTGGTGATGATAAAACCGATGAAGATGCATTCAAGGTATCCAATGATCTTAATTTTTGTCTAAAAGAATGCTGCCTAGTCAATTAATATATTAAGTTTGTTAGTGGATTGTTTGGGATAATTTGTACTAACTAGTGGTTGTTAATTGTTTTATCGTAACCAGAAATTAAGAGACAGAGGACAAGGTTTTGGGATTCTTGTCTCAAAATTTCCAAAGGACACTACTGCATCATACTCTTTACAAGAACCCAACGAGGCAAGTATAATTTGATTAATTTCCTTATTTCATATATTTTTGCGCCATCGTATCGTATGCATAAAATATATCTTGTTTATTTATTTATCCAATTATTTTTTAATTTCATATAGGTGATGGAATTCCTTCAACGTTTGGTGGAGTGGAAACAAGTATCCCTCCGAGCACGTTCCCGGGTGTAAATGGATAGAATGACGTTGTACATCCCTACCCTGCCATAAAAATTGAGTTCAGCTAGGGTAGGATTATAGGACCCTTTTTTTCCCTGTTTTGTTCAGATTAGAACAAAGAACAAAAATGTAAGGAAAAAAGAAAGACAAAACTGTCTTTCTGAGTTTGAAGCACGTCTACATTGATGTAATTAGCCACGTAGTACGTAGTACAGGGGAAAGTCTCTAGGATCAAATGTAATTCTGAATGGATTAAACATGTACTCTTCCCATTATGATTATATAATATTTCTTAAGTTACGTATAAAGACTATTTATAAATTCCCAGTCGTTACATGCCTTAGCATAGTCTCGCCATGATGTCCTGCGTGTTCGTAAAAATTATATTAAGAAATATTTTAAACATTTTAAAATAATGTTAAATGTTTTAATACACTCCTCAGGCGCATCTGATGCATAAATTTTTTAAGAATAGATATTTGTATTTGGCTTAATATTAATTAAGATTAAATAAATATTAATACCATACTAAAAGCGAATTAAAAGCCTAACTCACTTAGAATGTCCAAGGCCTCAAGCTTTTAATGGAATATTTAGCGGTAATGAAAATTTAAAAAGAACATTGTAATTAAATACCGTGGTTAACACAATCCATTTCGGAATTTCGGAAAAATATGGCTGTATTCTTACGATCCACTACATGAGCAAAGAACTAAACGGATTATGACATGTCGAATAAGCGTGTGAAGTGATAGTCTTTTGGCCTTTGGGACAAGAAGTGAAAGGGGTAAGTTCGTTTCACATCTATCACATATCATTTGCTTTTAGTTGAAAAACTTGAAAATAAGTAAATAAAAGAGGAAGGAAGGGAGAAGGGGCGTGGGTAAATCGAAGCCAATCTTTATCGGCAATTATTCAGCCAATAATGCTCTTTGTAATTCTTGATTTAATAGCAATTATTGGTTTCCTTCTCTGCAGTACATATTTGGTCTATTAGGGTTAGCTTACACAAACATTAATGGACATTCTTCTTTTGGATAACAATTGATTGTGCTAGTTAAACTTATTCTGGATTAAAAGTCTATAATATTATTGGATACCTTATAGGCTGCATTGTACAAAGCCATGTCAAAAGGAAAGCCTGTTTATCCCTACAATCATCCACTTGTATGGTGCTTAGGACCACTGGTCGCACGTGCATAACGAACAAGAGAACTTATATGCAATAGAAGGAAAAACGGGCTTCCAATCTCAGTAAGATATCCTTAATGTGGAGATAAGATCATCATAACCATCAATGATTGGGTCATTGGAGATTCAGGTAATAAGCCTAAGAGGGCCCCTTATCGACTTGGCTTATTAGAATATTTCTATCCTGTATCTGAAGCTGACTCAAAAGTTGTTGTTGTGGGCTAGACTTTTTTGGTGCCCCAGAAATTCAATTTTATGCTATGTCATTATTCAACGTTTGAATCAATGTCTCTTTGTCCATGCCAGATACACTCCCACAGCTTTCCCTCTGTCATGCAGTATACTGACATTTCTATACTCCTTTGTGTATTGGAAATTATATCATGGATTCGTATATATATATATATATATATATATATATATATATATATAGATAGATATATACCATAAACCCAACAGAGAAATAAGCTCTTGAGCATCAGAAAAAGGACTAGAAAGTAGTAAATGTAGTCAGAAAATTGAACGCCTCTAATATAGCCACCAATATGTCTGTACGCTCCACATGATGTTTGATTTTAGATCAATAATTGGTGAACCAAGAGAATATAAAAGTAATGGTTTAGAAATTTTTGTAGTAAGACTAATAAAACAAAGCCTTTTATTGATTCTAGATTAATAATTTTATATCAATATTGAATGTCAGCAACTAGGCATTTACGAATTATTTATATAGAGATATGCTAGCTAGGTTAGATAAATAAATTTTATAATCACATGCATCTTGGAAATAAAATAGGAAAGGAGGTTTCGTGTCCCGTATCTAGAAAAGGTGTTTCATTTTACATATTGAAAATAGAAACCGATGCTCAATCTTTTCTAAAGGAAAGGGAATGAAGAAAGGTTGGGAGAAATCCATTATATTAATTCGGTGTCCACTATCCTCTATCTTATGAACCAAATGCCTGCTTTGTTTGAGTAGGTATGTGAGGTGGTACCATATATAACAAGACATGACCAAAACTAATATTTAAAAAAAAAAAAACTCAAAGCAATCACAAATCATGTGAAATGACCACCGATATTATACACATGCAAAAAGCTGTGCCTGCCCGTGTTCTTGAAACAAGAAACATAGATAAAAGCTAATCCATATAATGTAATGATCGAGACTGTAAGGTTATGGCTTAGATTCTGCGTGTTATGCACATAGCAAATTTAGCAAAAAGAAAAAGAAGAGAGAAACAGGAGTGGCCGAATAATTGGTGCTTAAGTTCTAAGGAACCCAGGCCACTTCACTTTTTTTTTTTAAGGCCTTGAAGTAACATGTTTCAAATGGTGAAAGGGAATCTGATAAATGAGACGGGGTGCTTTCGAATTAAATTGAGTTCGTAAGGAGGACAAGGAAGGTTAAACTTTTGGTTTGGTTAGTGAAAGTGAAACTGAAGACAGGGTTAGGGAATCTATATGGTTGAATGAAGAGTTGGAATCCACTCAGAAGGAGATGTTTGATGGGAGGAATAACATAGATATTTGGAATAGAGACACCAACATGGCTCCAACCTTTGACAACGCTCAGCTGTTAATTTGTGTCGGACGTGGAAAGATGGTGTCCACCAGATTTATCTATGATTGATGTCTAAGTTAAATTAAACTACGTTTTTGAAAGTTTCAATTATTGGCGAGAACCAAAAGTCGAACACCATTTCTCTGCCAATTGTCTTCTTTCTTTTTCACTAACCTTGGCTTTGTAATATATTCTCCCTCTCCTTCTCTTAGTTCAATATTAATTGGCTCGTGATCTTAGGAGGAGTAAGGAAATGGGTTAAGTATTATTACTATTAAATATACTTCCATTTCAATAAACAATGTTTTTCCACCCATTATATTATTATGAAGTATAACTAACTCTTGCTCCCACCTACCCCAACCAAAATTAACACAGAAAACACTATTAATTATATGGGAACAACAACAACTGGATCATATTAGACCCATACGTAACCAACAATTGTGAATCCGGATCGCACGCAGTAATGGGACTCATAAAGCAGCATGGCAAAGATTGAGAAGTAGGAACCTCTAGCCTTAGACTTTGGCATTGGCATTTTAAGGTGTCAGAGGGTGTGCCGGCTATTAATGGTCCTCAAGTACACGTGTTTGGTTCTTGGCAAAAGAATGATGCAAATTTTTTACACGTGTACAAGTTTGGGAATTGGTCCCCGCCTTGAGGGTCGAGCCCACATAAGATGGCTGCCATGGAATACAAATGCATGTTATATGTACATAAACTATACAGTATATGAGGAATAAATTAAGGTGCGGAGTGGGTTAGCTAGGTTGAGCACTGCACTTGTTGGATACGCTACACTCCTAGGCCACATGGGTCTCCATGTGACCCCAAGATGCCCTGGTATTGGGGAGCAAAGCAATAATAATGTTCTGTTGATGGGTCACTAGTTTTCACCTGTTAACATGTTCACAGACCACTCTCATACGGATACTCACGTTTCGGAGTGCAAATATTAATTGGAGGAGTGATTGAGGATGTGTCATGGGGAGATTGGTGGTGTATCAATATCTTGTATCTTGTGCATGAAAACTTGTCTCCGGGAACTGGTTGTACATCTCTTTTAGTATTTATAAGTTAAGTTAGAATAATCTTTAATCATTGATTTACGTGTTTAGTAGTCTCTCTGCTATATATATATATATATTAAATATTTCTCAGCTATGACACTGTTCCGTGATCAAGGTCAACCAGTGTGATGAACATAGTGGTTAGATACAAATCACAGATTCTTTTTCGTCATGGGCGAAGCAGTCACATGTAAGTTGCATAAGTTAGGCTCACAGGCCAGAAAATTAAGAATAGAACAATATTGAACATGGCTAATAAAATTTGACCTTGTGTTGTGAATGATGATCTAATTATCATAACTGAGGAATAATAATAAAATATTATGAATGAATAACATAAGCGGACATATATGTGTGCCCAAAAAGAGGGTCAAACAGTAAGGGGAAGGGAAAAGAAATAAAACATTGTCTTATTGTTCACAACCAGCTGGTACAATGAATTCTCCGCTAAGTAAGAGAAGGCCACAAAAAGGTTTTTTCAACAAAAGAGCACATAACCAAAAGGGGTAGGGAAGGGGCCTTTAATTTGCCAGAAGAAAGTTGATCAGTTTTTAATTAAAGTTGCAATAGCCTAACTTTCATAATTATTTTATTAATTTAAAGCGCACCTTCTTTTGGGGTTTATTGGCCTGCCCTTAAAGAATATTAATTATCTTTTTATAATCAAAACTTATCCCCTTCATTTAGTTGTTTTACCCTGCAATCTTTTCTTTTCCTTTTTAAGTATGTAATAATTGAGAGTTTTATTATATTTTTCTGCCATTCTTCTTAAAAACTCTCTTGTTACTTAATAAAGTAAGAAATAATTATAAATACTCTTTATTTTTATAATTATTAAATAAAAATATTAAATATATTACCTTTTTAAGCTAATAAATACATTAACAATTTTTTATTTAATGCTCATTTTATAAATAAAAAGAGAATTATTAAAAGGATAAATGAAAAAAATATAATAAAAATAAGTATTAAATTTAAAAGTGTATAAATTTATTTTCTTAAAAAAATAAGAAAATTAATAACTAAAAAGATATATACTCACAAAAAGTTGAAGGATTTAAAATTATTCCAGTATAAAATAAAAATAACGCATGCATTTATTATACTAAAATATGAAATATAATTAATAATTTTTTATATAATAATTTTTTAAATATGTATGATGCATTCAAGATACAAAATAAAAAATTAATAGATAATAATTTTTTATTAAAATTTATAAAATTTGATATTATCAATTAATTATATTCTATCTTTTATAAAAATTTATTATATATAAATTTGATTTTTAATACACATTAAAAAATATATAATAATTAAAATTTTATAATAATAAAAGATTAAAGGATTTATAATTATTCTGCAATTAAATACATCTTTACATTTTTTTTAAAGAAAATCTCGCAGTCAAAAAATAAGAGAATAATTTGTCAGATTATTGTCATAAAATTCGTGAGTATACACTAACATTAAATCCAATGTTATCCTAAGTTTTCAATGAGTACACACTGAAATTGATCTTTTGAAAAAAATCATTAAATCCAATCAAGTTATTAAAAAGATAAAAATAACTCAATAATATTTTTTTATGAGACAGGTAAACTTATCCCAATGACATCTCTTCATGTACATACAAATGGCACGAATAATGTTTATCTTATAAAATAATTTTTTTAGAAAGCTTTTTTCAGTCAAATTGGTTACTGCGCTCCCTGAAAGAAGTAACAAGAGATTAGCAGGCCATATAAACAATTTTATTAAGCTAAAAAGAAGTATTTTAAGGAAAAAATAACTTGTCTCATAAAAAAGTTTTAAAAAATTCTTTAATAATATTTTTCTTGTATTTTCACTATTTCTTATACAAATATTTAAAAACATAAATCATAACAAAAAAATCTTTGCTTGAAGTAGATTTAGCATTTTATTGTAAATCTAGATTAGGATAATTCTTCAGGAAAGGCCCAAACCTTTCCAGGTCCAGTAATCCCCTAAGCCTCTGGCCTAAGCAGGCCCCGTTTTATGATAAAGATCATTCATTTTATGTCAACTTGACAACTTCAGGTTCACCCCCGAAAACAAAAAAAGAGACAACTTCGGGTATATATAACAAAAAAAACATTATTCGTTATTCTAGCAAGATTATTAATTTTAGAATCTATGCCTATGGTTTAAAAGAAAAAAACAACCCAGCTTAATTAAAAAAAATACTATTAAAATCCAATTTTGTGAAGGCATTAATGTGTGAATAACTCTATTGCTTATGCAGTGCACAATTGAGAAGCAGAATGACTTCAAACAACCCGGAGAGATGTCGGTCATGGGCACCTAATTTATAAGTTAAAAAGAGTATTGTGATGCAGGGAGATTGTGAGAAAAATATAAATGAACTATATTTATTCATTCAGCATTGCCTTACCTTTCCTTTTCATTATTTTTCTCATATGTTACAACATAGTTTAATTAATTGTCATTACTATGTTTAAAACGAAGAATATAACTGCTAGAGCTGGAGCCTATGAGAAATACTTAATTAAAAATAATATAATAAGAGCAGACAACAAGGGAAGAACAAAACAAGCAATGATTAAAGAGATGAGACCGAACAAAGGAGAGCAAAAGAAAAGAGGGAGAAGGGATCACTTCTGGGTTTAATTGAAGTGGATGCCATGTTTTTACCACGCAACCCCATCACTGCTACAACAATAAAATAGTACAAGTACACAAACCATCCCATATCCTAATTAATAAATCTTCAAACTCAATATTGCTTGAAATTGGTATCGCATTGTTGTGACAAGACTCGCGTGTCGCTCCCGAGACCGCTAACCTCAAACTCACACGCCACATTCGCCTTCATAGTCCACGTTTCGAGTCCACCAGCTTGGATCCTAACCCCAAGTTTCATCTCTAATTTCAAAGGAAGTGTCTTGTTGGATTTTATGCCACTATTCATACCCTTTGGCAACGCTCCGTTGGATCCAGTTAACTCAACTTTCACCGTTGAGGACTCATTACGATCTTGTTCCATCATCGGATACCTCCCCGTGGCAACCTTGGTCTCCTCGAACAGCATCCAAACATCCCCATTTGCATAATCAATCCCCATCCTTTGATTCGGGTTCTTGGCCCTCAACGAAACCTCGTACTGTGGTCGCGAGTTCTTGTTTCCAAGGTTCTTCACGACAACATCGGAGACAGAAAACGTGGGTCCCGTGGGGTTGAAGATGAAGTACAAGATGGCTATAGCTATGCCAACAATGGCAACGATGGAAATAATGATTAGAGCAATGGTAAGCCAGATGCGAGGGCCACAACCGCAACAGCCGCTGAGACAGCAACAACCGCGCCTTTTCTGAGCTGGTGGTGGGTTGCGGTGTTTTTCGATGATCAATGCATTCTCACGTGGTGGCACGCGGTAGACTTGGTCTTTTGGGAATTGGACAATGTACATGTCATGTTGGGCACGCCCTGGAGGCGGTGGCAATGGTGATATGGCGGCGGCGCGGTTGTCGGCGACTTCGTTGCTGTTATGGGAGCTGTGCCCCTCCATTGGCATGCAATGAATTGATCGGCGAATGTGTTAGCTTCAACTTCAACGCTTGCTTGCATGCACGTGAATAGGGGTTAGCTTGGGGGTTTGGAGATGATGAATGAGATAATAAGGTTGTGACAGCTTGGAAAACATAAGCGCCCACCGCATTGGGGTGTTAATTTTTCGGGGTTAGTTTTTCTTTCTTTATTTTCTAGGGAATTCATACAGCTTATGTGCCCTAATTCAAGATTGCTAACTTCTTATTAAGAAGTATTTTGATATAATTACTTTTCTAAGCTCGTCTATTATTAGTGTGTACAAAGAGTTTTGTCATCTTTTGTGTTTTTAAGTTTTTTTATGGAAAGTCTTTTTTGTGTATTAAGTGTAATTAGCATACTTTTAACAAGTAATGATTACAACCAAAAATGCTATATCAACCGATCGTTGAGTTGCCAATATACTATCATATTCATCATAAAAATTGCAATTTATCAATTTTTATAAAAAATATTTTAATTTTTCCAAACTTTATTCTTTATATCTACTTTTTAATCTACCATTTTTTTTTATCAAATTAATCTCTCTCTCACTGCTACAAAATATATATATATAGACAAATTTTTGAACCATTATAGACAGATTTTAAAATTACAGACAGATTTACAAACGAACAGAAACTATCTATAATATCCTCATCGGTAAAAAATTACAGACAGGGTGTTAAATCCGTCTGTAAGTTATAGACAGAAAAATTTGTCTATAAGTTACAGACAAAAAAATTTGTTTGTAATTTATAAACAAAAAAATTTGTTTGTAATTTACAAATGAAAAAAATTCATCTATAACTATAAGTAGAAATATATGTTTGTAACTTATAGACAGAAAAATTTGTCTGTAACTTATAGACAAAAAATCCATCTGTAATTTGTCTATGATATATTTACTATTTTTTGTTTATATACATAATTATTTTTTTCTGTTCTTGATTATCACAATTTATAAATATAATAAAAATTACAAAATTAAATTTAAAAATTCAAAAATAATTTATAAAATTTAAAATTTAAATGTCATTACAAACGAAGACAAAAACATCCAAATAAATAATGTTAAAAATAAAATACAAGTGTTCACCACGAATAATCTGTATGATTATCATCTGAAGGAGCATCATCATCAGTAAACGAGGAGTCGGAAGAGGAATGATGCATAAAGCTGAAAACTAGTGGTGCTGGAGTTGGTGGAGGAGGAGGAAGAGGTATGGAACTGCTTGCTCTTATGAGCTCAAATTATGCATGCATCTGCTGCATCTACATATGTTGTTGCTCATTTGCTGCTAGACCTCCCTTTGCATCCTCGATGCCACCTTCTTTTCTATCTTCTTCTCCATTTTCTTTATCATTTCTTCTTTCATGCACTTAGAACATGACACCTAACTTTTTAGTTGGTGATGAATTGCTGCGAATTACAACAAACACGTATGAATTCCTCTGCACTCTCAAAAAATTCAGGTTTTATTCCCCCAACTTGAGTGCAACCTATCATACATCCACTGACGATTTCTGAGAAACATATGAATCAAGAACTATATAAACCTAATACAAACACACAATGTTGTATCAACCTTCTACTATACATTACACAAATTTTTAATATAAATTTTGGCATAATCTCCTCTAATATATGTTAATTTCCTTATGTTTGTTTACCACTTTTTTACAGAAATTAAAATTTTCACCACACATAACTAATATATTATATAACAATATATTAATCAATGCATAAAACACAAACACATCACAATTCTAAACCGTTCTAGAGCACATCCCCTTGTAACTCCACAACATGTATATTCTACAAACTCCGTAAATACAAACAATCCCACAGCACACAATAATCAGGTTCGAAGAAGGACCTCTACGCCCTTCCCCCTAGTCATACAACTCTATTTTAGAAATTTTAAATCTCTAAAATACATCAAAAATATAAAAAAAAATTAAACTGATTAAAAGTTAGAGTATCATACCAGGAACACAATAATACAAATTATCTTTCAAATGAATGCATCAATCACTTGCAAAGGCCAAAAAACTAAAGCTCCAAGAGAGAGACAGAGAGAGAGAGGTGAGAGGCGAGAGAGAGAGGAAATTATGCAAAATGAGGAAGAAAAAGGAAGAGGCACAGTGTTATGTGTTTCACACATTACAGACGAAAAAATATGTTTGTAAATGTTTTAATGAAATGATGCATTTTAAATGTTAAATTACTGACAGATTTATCTATCTATAAATTCATCAAATACAGTTATAGATGAAAATATCTGTCTATAAATTGCCAAATGAAAAGTCGATCAAAAATGGCAATATTTACGGACGGATTTTTTTGTCTGTAACTTCCGCTCCAAATTTTCCTCCTATTTTCAAATTACAGACAAATTTATCTGTCTATAAATTCATCAAATACAGTTATAGACAAAAAAATTTGTCTGTAAATTGTCAGATGAACAGTCGGTCAAAAATGACAATATTTACAGACGGATTTTCCCATCTGTAACTCTCAATCCAAATTTCTTTCTCATTTTCAAATTATAGACAGAAAAATTCATCTATAATTCCTGTCTATAATACTTTGCGCTAAATAGCAGGTCAACTACAGATGACTATTATAGATAGATATAATACAGACGGATTTTTCAAAAAAAAATTAAAAAATAAAAATATAAAAATTTGTCTGTATTACAAACAAATTTTTGTCCATATGTAATATCTGTCTATAAATAACGCTTTTCTGATAGTGTCTCTCTTTCTTATTTCTCTATGTTTATCACTTACATGTGAATATATATGCAGTCCAAACCAGTGGAGAAAAAAATATCATTTTTAAAAAATTATACAATCATATATAGATCACGATGCGATGATAGATGCTTCATATTTTCGTTTGGGTCCAAACACAGAGTTTCTGTCCAAATGATAGGGCGTTTTATTTGTTTCAATGTTCATTGCATTTGCCCCATAAAAGCATAAACCCCAATCAGGAAATATTCTATTCCATCCATTTGCCCAACTTGGTTCAGATAAAGTTAATCTTCAGTTGACAAAAAGAGAACAGAGAAAAAAAATATATCTTCGGACAGCTTGATCAAATGTACTAATGATTGCCTGGATCAGTATTTATTTATTTTATTAATTCGTATAAAAGTGCAATAAAATAAAACAAAATTATTATTTATTTCATTAATTAAAAAATGTACAGATTGAAAATTATTAATTATTTGATTTTTTTAATATTTCTGTTAAATTTATTGTAAATGACCTTTATCATATTTAACACGTTTCTCTATATAATTTGTCAAACCAGTAAGTTGCAATAAAAAGTAGGTAAATTCTGTTTATCATAGTAAAGTTTAGTCTTTGACAGAAAACACATGAATGAATAATAGTATACCATTTTCGTGTAAATAAATTTCGTATCATTTAACATTTTTTTTCTTTATTTTTTGTAAAATGATATTGTTTTAGTTGTGCATTAAAAATCTACAAATTAATTTAGTTCAATTTAATGAGCAAGTTTTTATTATTTAATATTTTTGGATTAAATATATTTTAAATTTTATAACTAAAAAATTCTCTAATTAGATCCCTATATTTTAAGCAACATTAGATATTTCTTATAATATGCTAAACTTGAAAAAAAAAGTTTAAAAAACCAATATGTATATACACATTATTGTAAGTAATATTTTTTGTATAAGCGCGTGACATGGGCCATTTTTTTGTTTTAAGAATAAATATACAAAAATGACATGTATAAAGATATCGCGAAGATTTCAAATATTAAGTTCATAATTAAAGAATAGACATTAATTTAAGCAATAAGTTAATAATTAATATACTTTTAAGAACTAAAGTAGATACATTTAAAATATGGTAAACTACACTTGAATGGTAAAGAATGACACTTTTAATGAGATACACTTTGGTCTGTTTTAATATGAACAATTTTTTCAAAAGTAAGTTTCTTCTTTCAAGCTCGACCTTATTCTCAGTTTTGAATTTATATTATTTACTCAGTAGAAGATAAAAAATAATAATTTTGGCCTATGTTGCAAAATTATTTATTTTAAAATCAATCGATTAACTTAAGAATTCATGAGAACCCATAAAGAATAGTTTTAAATTGATAAAATTTAGTCAAAGAATTAATTTGAACCGGTTGATTTTTTGTTTTTAAAATTTATAAACAAGAATCAATAATAAAAAAAAAACCCATATATACAATTTTTAATATTTATTCTTTATTTTTTTTCTTATACAAAAACATGTGATACGACAATTTTATATAATTAAAAAAATATTATGTTTTAATTTATTAATATTTTATATTAATTTATCATTTCATAATATATTAAATAATATGTTTATTTATCGTCGGTTCAACTGCGTTTAAATTATTAAATTGTAAATCAATACTTTTATTCACTCAATTACCAATCTATTCCTGAAAACATTGTTCAAAACTAAATGTTAATAATTTATTTCTATCTTCTACCTTACATGAGTAATAAGATAAGGCAATTAAAATTGCTGACAATATGAGTCCGGGAAAAAACCAACTATCAAAATTGGCTCATATATATTAAAATCAACTAAAATATATTATATTCGTGTGTATTAAGTGAAAGGAATAATTATTAAATAAAATAACATATAACAGTTCGATCTAATAAAATGGAGGATAGTAGTTCATTATTCTATATGTTAAGATCCAAATTAACAGCTTAATTATTTAAGAATATTCCATATCACGTGTTCAAAGAATAACGATTTGTTCTCATGGTATGAGACGAGACGAGTGTGTAAAATAAACGGAAAAATAAAAAAAAATGCAATAAATAAATTTTTAAAATAGAAATACTAAAAATACGTGATAAAATCATAATTGAACATTCAGTCTTGCTTATAATTTTACTTTAACAAATTTTATTTAATTAAAACACGAAAATATTATTATTTTCATTTCTTTTTTTTTTTTTGGAATTTCTTAGCTAAAATATTTTTAAGACAGTAAATAACATTGTTTTTCTCATTTTAATAATTCCATGAACGTGGTGAGAAGATGGGGAAGGGAGCATGTGATGTGTCCCACTCCCACTCACTATTTATGAATTAAATACCAAATACCAATGGCAGTGTCCTCATGACCACTTTGATGCGATGATGGCAACCACAACACTCTCTCTCTCGTTCCTCTTTCTCCTCTCCCTCTGCTTCGCCGCAACCGTTAGATCTGTATGAACACGCACACTCTGTCTCTCTCTCTCACCCTCAGATCCGGCATTGCTAGTGCAGCACTTCTTCCTCTTAAAATAACAAAACTCATAAATCTGATTTGATTTGCAGGACCCTGAATCTGAATGCGTCTACACAGCCTACGTTAGAACGGGTTCCATAATGAAGGGTGGAACGGACTCCAAGATCGGTCTCAAACTATACGACCAGTACGGTTACTACATCTACATCAAAAACCTCGTCACATGGGGCGGTTTGATGGGTAACGGTTACAACTACTTCGAACGTGGCAACCTCGACATTTTCAGTGGAAGAGGACCCTGTCTTAACGGACCCGTTTGTGCCGTTAACGTCACTTCTGACGGTTCCGGTTCCCATCACGGTTGGTACTGTAACTACGTTCAGGTCACCACCACTGGGCCCCACCAATCCTGCGCCCAGCAAGAGTTCACCCTCGAGCAGTGGCTCGCTCTCGACACTTCCCCTTACCAGCTTTGGGCCGCTAGGAACTACTGCCGTCACAACTTGGACCAGGCCCGGCCCATCTCCCAACCTGTTACTGACCCCGCCCAATCCGGATCTGGCTTCTCTATTTTGGATGCCCGCCCGTGACTTTAATCGGTTCGCGGGTTAATCACCCCTTTTTTCTTTCTAGTTTCCAATAAGAATAAACTGTCACTTTATCCCTCAACTTCTTTTTCTATTATTCATTTTAGCTTTTAACGTTTTTAGAAATTAGCATTACACTTTTAATTATAAAATGATGCTATTCTGATGTGGTCCCTTATGATTCTTACGGGTTTTTAATTTTTAAAATTAAAAAAAATAATATCAATGGAGATAGATAGTCTCTTTTTACATGGTTTAAAAACCCACTGCCTTGTATGCGTATTGTTTATTTATTAAATTAATTTATAATGACTTTTTTTAATATACTTTGAGTGTGCCTCTTTATTATACAATTATAACTATAAACATTTATATTACTTACTCATCCATTGGAGTTAAAAATATACTCTTCACTGTTAAAAGTACTTAAATTATGAATTATTTCCCTCTAATTTATATATAATTCATCTTATTAAAATTAAAAATAATATTTACAATAAGACCAAAAATTTATTTGAGAACATTAAATTTAATTTTATCTCAATTTTAGTGAATATTTTATAAAACAAGTAAGATTAATTAAATACTTAAGAATAACAAAATTAGCACACTAAGCTAAGTAAAAAACCACGAATCCAAAAATCATGCTAGAATTTAATTTTTAATCTATTTTTAATAATTCAAAACAAACCTTTATTAATAATATCCTAAACTGTTCTACCTCCTACTAAATAAGCCTTTTTTTGTCTGAATTTAATTTTAAAAGGCTGAAGTTTTAGACATCAAACTTGATGTATTTCGAAAAAGAATTTGCGTTATACTTCGGCTTGTCTGGATTGCACTCTTGTCTTATATTCTTTTAAAACTTATAATTTTTTAACAATTATAATTAATCAAATCTATTGACGTAATGAATAACCCTTTTATATAACATGATATTATATTTATTTCAAAATATTTAGCATATATATTATAAAACATACTTAGATTATATATATATATATATATATATATATATATATATATATGTATAAGCTAATAAGAGAGGCAAAATGTCTAAACAAAAAGACCTTATTGTCCAAGCACCACAAGCATCTAAACAAAGAAAGGAGAAAAGGGAAGCAAGAGGAGTATCAAAGCATTCAATTGGAGTACATCCATTCACTCCAAGCTTAAGAAGCCAATCATCACATTGATTTACTTCTATACAAATGTAACTAAACCTAACAAATCTAATTTATTTCAACAACTCTCTAATATTAGACAATAAGACAGCAAAAAGATGAAAGTTAGGTTGAACGTTTAGAACAAAGAATAAAGCCTCTTTAGAGTTTTCTTCTATCCAAATACTCTGAAAACATAACCCAAAGTTCAGTAGCTAAAGGAAAACAAGGAGAGATACGGCCAAAGAAATCTGCAATAAAACTACTGCTACCATCCCTAATAAGACCACCACATCCTGCAACCTGATGATGATATGGGACTGAGTCATCCACATTAAGCTTGTAATGACCAAGGCTAGGAGGGATCCACTAGACATGAACCTGCTGAACAAGCAAACCAGAACCAGACTTGTTACTAATTTTGAACACACAATTAAAATAATTCATATTACAATTTATTTGTTGAACTAGATAATTAGGCAAAACAGAAGCCTACTGAAAAACAAATTTATTTCTATCTAACCAAATGTACCAGATCACATACCCAAAGATCCTACTCCAATTAGGAACAAAATGAGAATGATTAGCTAAATTTTGGTTAAGCCAATTATATAGGCTACTACTAAAGAAATTAGCCCAATGTTCAGGAAAAATAAAATGTTCCCAAACTTGTTTTGCATAAAAACAATCCCGAAGGACATGAATGATGGATTCAAATTCCTCACCACACCTAAGACAGATGGGAGAAGTAGTCATTCCTCTGTTATATCTCTCCTGATTGGTAAGGTAAGCAATCTGCCATGGCCTATTTTCCATAAAAATAAATTGACTTTAGGAGGACCTTTCCACCCCCAAATCGACTTAAAAACATTAGAACAAGGTTCAAGCCTAAAGGATATATCGAATAAAAGATCATAAACAGACTTAAGAGAGGTGTCATTATTAGACAAATTTCAGAAAAATAGATCTTTACCCTTAGATCTGGATGGGGATTTATATACAACTTATTAAATATACAATTGCTCAGGCAGGCAAGGCTCTAATTTTATCCCACTGTCAAGACCCATGGGTAAAAAACAAGGCCACAAGGGTGTCTAGATCTATAGCAGAAATAGGGAATAGAAAGTAAGTAGAAAGCGGTTTAAAATCCAGAATTCATATATCAGTTCAGAACTTAATGTAACACCCTAAATTTTGGTAATATTAATTATTATTATATATATATATATATATATATATATTCATATGTGTGTTGATTTATTTGAAAATGATGTTTTATGTGTATTAATTACATGGATATGTGTATGTATGACTAGTTGGACTGAAATGGGTTAAGTGCCTAAGTTCAGGGCGAGATACTGGGCTGTTCTCGCTACAGCGAGAGGATTCTCACTGTAGCGAGAAAGCCCTAGGAGGAAGGACCAGAAGTGTCGTCTTCTCGTTGTAGCGACAAAGCAACAATTTTGGGTGCATTTCTGGGTGCAGTCTCACTGTAGCGAGAGAGTCTCGCTGTAGCAAGATTCTGCAGAAACCTGGTTGCGACATATTCTTACTCGTGGTGATTAACATGTTCTTTATGTTATGGACTTTGACGTTGGTTGTGACCAGGTTGTCGACACAACTTACATCTTTGTCGTAGTTGTGACTCGACCCAATCTATTTCATTCCTAATTCGAGTAGCCTTTGATTGTCCTTTACCTCGTGCTCTTTCTACATTTGGTACTAACTTTCATTCATTATTTTGTAAAATATTATTTTCATTTTCAAGATGCCACCACTGAGATGAGTATGCGTTCACAACATACTGTAAAGTATAAACAACACAAATTGCAAAAAGTCTATACTCATATGAGCACAAATAGCTATGACATGTGAGCATGGATATTGGAATGCCTTAAATTTTACGCATTCACAATAACATGTGGATAATATGACCGCCCCTTATGACCGCTCCTTTGTGTCACTGGATTAAAAGCTTTCTCAACCTCAAACCTTATTCTTTGTATGTCATACCACCGAACTTGATGTGAAGATGCTTCTTGTTGATTTTTGTTTCATAGCTTCTATTAATTTCTGACAATATCTTCCTCCATTGTTAACCTTATTCATTGCGGTTTCACCATGCTTCACAAAATATTCTACCAATTGTGCATACGTAGCTTTCACCAAGGCAGTAATAGGGAGATTTCTTGCCCCTTTCAAAACTTTATTTACTGATTCAAACAAATTAGTAGTCATGTGTCCATAATGACGTTCTTCATCATCATAAGCCAACCTTCACTTTTTCTTTGATATATTATCTATCCAAATATGAATTTCAGGTGATTGTGATTGAAACATATTAAGCCTATTTTCAAATATTTGCTTCGATGGTGTATATCCTACATTTAACAAAAAATGGTAGAATGTAAAGGATAAATATTCAAAATACATTAAAACTTAAACAAATCAAATGTTTAAATACATACCTAATTTAATTAGTTTATTCTTCAACATGATATTTTTGAATCGTTGATTGAAATTGCTTGCAATGTGATGAATGCAATAAACATGATAAGCATTTGGAGGTTGCCAACCAAAATGTGGGTTAGAGACTGCACCTTTTTATACTTTGATGTTGATAAAAAAAAAATTAAACAGAGCCTTGCCTTATTTGTCACATTTATACAAATCATGGCTAGGAACCATTCCCATGCAAATAAGGTTTCTCCTTCCACAATAGGAAGCACACAGTTGTTTCCATCTTCATTCGTAGCAATTAGCAAAATTTGTCGGTACTTACCATACAAAAATATTCCATCTACCTGTATTATACGCTTACAAAACTTAAAAGCTTTATGACATTGCTTGAACGACCAATACAACCGATGAAAAACTCGATATCTATTATTCACAATGTGACCTCAACATAATCATTTGTTTCAATTTTATATACAGATCCAGGAGCATGTACTCTAACTACCTTGGCAATGTAGCATAAGATTCGTCTCAATCACCAAATATAGTAACTATTGCTTTTTGTTTTGCTTTCCATACATTCTTGTACGAAATTGAATATCCAAATTGACCACTAATTCTCTCTTGAATTAACGAAATAGACATTGATGGTTCTTGTTTCACTATACTTGCATCTCATATAATAAGGGAGTTTTTCAATTTGTAGGGAAATATTATATGTAATACGATAAAATTTAGTATATTTTTTCTATTTTAAAATAATAAAATTTAATATAAGATTTGACATACTAAGAATGCATGAGCAAATAAATTTAGAATCTAACTTTTGGTGGTATTGAGATATTGAAGCATGTATGCACGTATGGGCACCACACCACTTTGTAATTTTTCACTTGTCTTCATTTTTTGACAATGATGCTCGAACTTTCTAGGGACATCCACTATTGTGATTGACACACTTCACTACATATGTTGTTACTTTTGACTCCACCACACAAAAAAAGTTTGATATTTCCTTATGACATAATGGTTTATAGTCATTCTTACATCTTTTTTAGTGTCAAATAGTTGTCCAACATATAATGCATCTCCTTCTTTCCATGATTGCGAGTCATTCATACCAAGAAAATCTAATTATTGATCAGGGTGTTCCCAATTAATATGACTATAATGTGGTGTTATATTTCAAAAAGGCAATGTAGTTTCTGTATTATAATAATTCATCCATCAAATTTACACCCCCATTAACGATTTATATATTACTACAGATATGAGTTATGAAAATCTATATTTTAAATCACTATCTAAAATCATACCTCCATGGTGTTGTTGCGTTGAGCTAACTCTTACAATACCCTCCATATTGATCATTGAATCAAAATT